GCATTCCTGTTTCTCTTGACTTTCCAGGGCTGTGCTGCAACCATCCGGCCATAGCTCAGGCATTATCCAGTCCCCTCTCCAGCATTTCTTTTGAAGTTGGACCACTGACCCTCTCATTCAGTATTCAGTAAATAAAATGGATGACGAGCAGTGTGGAACTTACTGCCTTATTGTGAACAAGGATCCAGGCTAGAACACCGGGCCCTTTTTCCCACCAGTGCAACATCCATGTTGCTGAACTACAAGCCACCTAGCTTTGTCTCTTCCTTCTGATCTCACATATCTCTCAGTCTTGATTGCTCAGGGGTCTAGCCTTAAGAGGAAGGTTTGGAAAGGGGAGTGCCTGAACTATAGCCGAGTAGTTAAAGCGCTATGCTGGGAAGTTTGACATAGGTTCAAACCCTACCCTGCCCCTGAGAGGGCTGCAAAGAAACTTGGGCCTCAAGTGTTACAAAACACTGATGTATTCATAGATTGTGTAATCTGTTTGGCAGCTGCTGTGAAATAATGCATATATATATATATCTTTAAAAATGGAGCTACTCTAATTAAGTGCCTGCAGTGTTATGTGTATTCAGCAGCCTATGCTTCAAAATGGCGGTGGGAGCGCTTTAACTAAATCTCATTTGACGAGCTTTAGTTAAGGAGCCCCCGCAGCCATTTTGAAACTTGGGACGTTGAATACATGTGACAGATGTATTCAGCACATGTCAGAGCAGATATCTGGCACATATATAGGTGCCCTACATGTGAGTCGAGCCTTTACAAATATAAAAATGTGGAAAGCCTTGTAAGAAAATGAACTGGGATGATGAAATGGGATGATCTAGTTGTGGATGCTGCTGCTTTGAGCAGTGGGTTGGACTAGATGACCTCCTGAGGTCCCTTCCAACCCTCACTTTTTATGAGCTGTATACTTAATTGTGCTGAAAAATTTCTCAGAATGTTTTTTCTTTTTTTTTATTTTGTAGGTGCGCAGTTGGATAAGATAGGTTTCACAATTATTAGAAAATGCATCAGTGCCATTGAAACACGAGGTAACACATGAAAGAATGAATGAATGTCTTAGGACTGGGAGAAAGTGGGAGTGGGCGGGGGTCGGAGGTAAGGAAAGTGTATGTAATGGATGCTAGTCTCATTATACCCACCATTAGGAATAGCAGCAGCTGGGAGATCAGAAACAGGCTGGAGCTTGCTTCTGCTCAGCCTTGTGTGCGACTTAATTCTCAATTTAGCCCAGGACCAAGGGACACTTCCTCTCAAAGAACTGTTGATATTGGCCAGTTGTTGCTGATCTATCACCAAAGATGTATGTGATTCCAGTTTCTTGTTCTGCATTTAAGCCCGACTGTCACACATTTAATATATTCATTTCACATATGCCTCATGAGGATTTTTGTGTTTTTAAAGGTTTATTTAGATTTGACTTTCAAGAAGAAAAATGTCTAGCTAGGCTGGAAAGTGAAACAAACTATTATTGGTAAAGCTTTTCCTTTTTAAGAAAAGATTAAATTAAAATGGAAACTTTAGTACTGTTTGTCCCCCTTTTGAAAAGGTTTGGAATTTCAGGGTGTGAGCTTTTCTTTCAATCTAAATGTTTCAGAGCTTCTACTCCTGAAGGGGAATTTAGACATATGATTGTGCTGGAGTTGGTTGTTTTAATTATCCAGTGACCAGATGTTGTACAGAGGACAACAGTGATAACTTTTGTTTGTATGCCACATTTCTAGTTTAGAAGATATAGTGGGATAAAATAGTAGTTCAGTTATTTGCAATGAATGCAAGGTCTTATTAGGCAAAATCTTCCACCTGTACAGATTAGAATACAATATAATTGATCAATACAAGTAGTTCCAAAATGTTGGGGACTTAACCATGAATAGCAAAGAAAAATCTGAGAAGTCTTTTATACTTGGACTCTATTTACATCAGTTCAGTCTGACAGATTTGTGAATAAATTCAGATTAGATTAGATTTGAGTTGACACTTTTGGGTTTTCTGGGCTTTCAGATATCTGTCAAATTACCAGTATCTGCTTTATATCAGTCACATAAATCTAGGCTCTTTTGTGTTTGAGTTAGGACATATCACAAATAAAGCACACAAAAAGCCAGCTCCTTCACTACAAAAACCTGATTCATTCCTAAAACAGGTCTGTCCTGTACAATGAATGGGGCCAAAATCTTATGGAAAAGAGAGTATGCAGTTATGTACCTGAAGACTGTATCAAAATGTAAATTCAAAAGAGGACCAAAAGACTGGTTTCTTACCCTACAGGAACTGTAGGTCTTTGAGGTATTGTAAGCAGAGCAGTGCACCACATTTCTAATAGTTATGTGGTCTTGCTTATATGTGAAAGTGTGAATGTTGCTCTGTCTGGCACAACATTTTGGGGGAAAAATGGGGAGGGAAGAGGAACAAAACCAAACCTATGAAAGAGTGATTTTTTTAAAACCCAAAATAGCTGTTGAGGTCAGGCAAAATGAGGCAGACATAGGGTTGCCACATGTGGGAGGGAACTGAAGACATCATGTCCACTATCCTTTGTACTCTCACAAAGCTGTCTTTGTTTCTAGTTACTGAGAATGAACATAAGCTATTTTTTTAAATCTTGTTTTTTGCACATAGTTTGCAGAATCATTCCTAGGGAGACAAGATTAATTTCTGCTCTCTTACACCCAGTGATGTCTGCTGAGCTATCCAGGTGTTAGGAGAGGATGCTGTTTGGACAAGTCTCCTTGGTGCACTTGTGTAATAACATGAGCTGTGCACTGAGGAAAGTTTGATATCCTACAGGCCTCCAGATTTTATGCCTAGGTAGGAAAATATACAATATTTGCTCTTACAACAACTTCTACTGTGATTATTTTACTTTTGCAGTACATTGTCAAGAGCACGTTATATTCAATAGAAGAAAATAGAGGACAGATGCCTTTTCAGAGTCTGTGTCTGTATGCCATGTTTTTATCTCTCTTAATCATAATGGGTGTGAGGTTGGTGTGGGTGGAAAGAGAGGACAGTCTAGTGTGGGTGGAAACTGAGAATAGTCTTGTCATGTCATAGCAGAAAAACTCTGGTATTCAGAGAGAGAAGAAAAGGATAACAGATATTGAACATAAACTTGTCAATGGCTGGATGATTTTCTCAGTTGTGTTCATTTTTATAAAACTGAGAAAAATTATTCATTTTGAATGAATAGAAAAACCAAATACTGTATATGACTTAAAAATCATATTTGCTAGTGGACTGGAATTCTTAAATATTTTTCCTGAGAGGCTATGACTGTAGCCTTTATTTATTGGACTGGAAAAATAGAGTTACCTAACCAACATTTTAAAATTGTATTTTTAACTCCTCAGACCCATTATTTTCACTCAACACACAAATCTAGTGGGATTTATACTCAGGCACTGTATACAAGTGCAAGGCTCAAGGTTCTGATTTTATTATTCCATTTAGATTTACATTTCTGTACCTCAGTGAGTAATGCATGAGATTTACCTGAGTGCAGTTAATTCCAGGGGTAACAGCTAGATGTGTTGGTGTATAATGGCAAAGTTGGCATTCTCTAAAGTGCCATTCGTAAGGATGAATAACATTTCACTTAATATTAGTTTCGCAGCAGCAGCTATTTCAAGGTGTAGAGGCAGATGGCAGTAGTGAGCTGTCATCCCAGTTTTTTCCTAGGTAAGACTGTTTCTGTTTAACTGGGGGGAAGAAAATAGAGAGCCTTCCCACGGAAACAACCTGATATTACCTTGAATTGTGAACGTGCATGAGTGATCACTTCTGTACCATGTAATTGGACATAAAATAAGTGATTTCTGTAGCTCTATTAAAAGCCTACGTCAGCTATAAACCTTAAGCCATACTTGCTTAGTGGACATATTCTGCCTGCTACAGTGTAATTTTGAGACTGTAGTTTCGGCTTATACTTATTATTTGTAGGCATGTCTAACAAATTGGCTGCCATGCCAGGCTCTGGTATCTGAGTGCTAGTCACCTCTAACTTGTGTAAACACAAAGAGAATCAGAATATGTACTAAGAAACCTTGCAGCACTTAAAGCAGCTTGGGCTGCTTGGTTTGAGGGCCACTTCTGTTTGGTGAACCAGTCAGACTTTTAATTTTTAATCAGCAATAAGCCATTAATCTAAAAAGAATCATCTTGTGAATCCCTCAGTGTTTAGGGAAACCTCTTCCACAGCTATCAGTCTGACTTCTGTGGCTCTCATAGAATAGATCAGAAATAACATAATTTCCAACTGTTTTTATGTGTAATGTTTTATTTAAAATTTAATTAAAAGGTAAGGACTGTACTGAAGTATTAATTCCCCTCTGCACACCTCATTTTGCATTAGCAATTAACTCTGCTTCTTTTCGGTTGAGTCATTTTAACTGGATCAATTATCTGATAGTAATTACCAGCACCGAATGATGATTATTGCTCAATAACTCAAGTAACTTTCTGGTTTCAATGCCACTGTCACTTCAGACACATTCACAGCTGCACAACTGTTTTAATACTGAGCAATGAGTTGCTGAGGTTTGGCCTAAATTATTTTTAAATCCTTAAACTTAAGGTACCAACAGTTTGAGTCAGCACAATTTTGTTCTTATTAGTTTTAATGTTAGCAATGCAGAAAATCAATACACAATCTGAGAGCTTGATCTTCTGAGATGAGCAAAAAGCAGTAAGATACATTTGATTGTAAGAATGTTTCTTCAGCTTTTTCTTAGATTCTTGTGTGCTATGCAAAAGGCTTGTTCTGCAGCACTAAAACTAATGATGAATCATCCTGCAAAAGGCCTGGTGCAGTTTGGCAGAGCCTCATGAAATTTGGTGTTCCTGTCAAAGATTATCTTTGCACTAAAGATCTCAAAGAAACACATGGGAAATTGAAGCAAGAGTTGCCCTTCCCTTCACATGCTCCTCAATAACCCTAAATTGCCGGTACTTCCTGCTTTAGGGTGGATCAGAAAATCTTACTCTGTATTAGTGCTGGCAGTTTTCTAAGTTATACAATATAAACTGTCTGAAGACCTTATGCTTTTAATAATGTGACCCACTGGAAAATCTAGTGGAAGGAGATTGACAGTCTTTTTTTTGTAATCTTTCTGAGTTTTGGTAAATTTACTTTATAATAACATTAGTTTACAGCCTACTTTTTAATTCTGCCCACTAATACAATTAAATATACTTCTATAATAGCAGACTTCTCTAGGAAGTTCATCTATTTCTACTATGGTTATCCTGCAATTGAGAAATAAGGCCAAGAAGAAGAGGATGTAAACTTAGAAGCAGAATGTTTTACTTTGCAGAATTCAAGATACTAATATTGAGTATAACAGGATAGTGGTGGTATGTCTCATTTATGCAGCTGGTTGAGTAATTCATTAAGAATAATATTTGTTATGAATAATGCAAATGAATTTTTGGATAGTGCATCCTATACTTATTCAGGAATAAACTTTCCATTATTTGAGTAGTTCTACTTGGCTTTCTTTTTCTTTTTCTCTGTGTTGGAACCATCTGTTGTTGAATCTGGAAGTTCTCTACAAGTTTTCTTTCTGTATGCTGTATTCTTAAATAATTTAATTTTAAAGATTTTTTTCATATTATTCCGATTTTGTGGTATTTTAGTATTTCTAGGTCCATCTGAACACAGGTAATAGAGGTGTTTATTTTTGTTTGCTTTAATTGCACTAGTGCACAAAGGCCTTATTTAGTGTCAACACTATATTTCAATAAGTTGAAACTGATTTCTAACAAAGCGTATGATGAAAGAGTGCAACAGCAGAGTGATTCAGACAGACCTTACCTTTTTTCTTTAATTCTTTTTATGAACATTTAGTACTTATTTCTAGCTTTTACAGGTGTTGTGTCCTGCTTACATAGGAAGTACTGACTACAGTGTCTTGGGTTGAATCCTTCTGGGTGTACCTAGCATGGGGAGCGCAGTGGGTTGGATTGATACCTTGTACTTGGAATATACAACTTGCACCCAAGTATGCACACAGAAAAAAGCAGCTTTAGTTTGAAATGTTGGGAAAAGATCTGGTTCCTCTTTTTCCCCCAAATCTTTTCATTCATCAGGGAAAGGGTAAAATTTAACTAAAGGAAGAAATGACAATTTATCATTTGCTGGGTCTGTTTCTGTCAGAATGTGAATAAGGAAATGCTTAGACTGGATGATTTCTTCTTAAGTAAATGAGAACAAACAGTTATCTTTTAAAAAACCTTCTTTGTCCTTAGTTACTTATAGGCAAACAGGGGAAAAAAATGTCTGTCAGAAATGTCCTAATAGGGTAATCCTGTTGACCAAAATATAACTTAAGATTTGTTTATCTTTAACACATGGATGGTCAGCAAACAGATAGCAGGTAACTGTTTTTGGCCTTCAGCAAATCCTTTTTTTGTAATCTTGGCTAAAAAAGGACTCTGAGGATAGCTGGGGAAAGATTTTAAAGCTTTAATTTATTTTCCTATATACCTTAATGCAGTAGCTGACCTTCATTTATTTTTTTTTCCTTGCCTAATAGGTATTAATGACCAAGGATTGTACAGAGTTGTAGGGGTGAGTTCTAAGGTCCAGAGACTTCTGAATTTGTTGATGGGTACGCCTCTTATCTTATAATATTTTTTTACTATATTGTGATTTATATTCATGGCTATTCTAATTTTAATGTTAATAATTCACTGTTAATATCTTATGTAATATGTATTTTGCATATTCTTCATTTCGGGAAAAGTGAGTTAGTCCTACTCATGGATAAATGTCCCATTCAGCACTCACTGTGACCACCCGGATAAGGAATGTATAAAGACTTAGCTGTTAGTGTAAACCAAGGAAACAGCCAAAAGAATATACTGGAACAAATCATGGGTGTAGTGTCAGATGGTTAAAAGAATCTGGCTTTTGAAGAAAATGTCTATACAAGTTAGGGATAAGAGACTCTCCGTACTATATCTTCCTGTTCCTAGTTTTCCTTTAAGCAACTTAAGTATGGTCTACATTCTATTTTTATGCTAGCACAGTTGTTAGGGTTTGATTTGATTTATAGACATGTTTAGTGTGTGTGTGTAAAAATCACACCTGACTCTGTGTGTGTCTGTATAATATGTATTCACAAATATGAATATAAACTCTAGTACAAATGCAGTTTTACTAGTGTAAACATGCCTCAAGCAGTTTAAGTTACACAAGTTCGGGAAGGTTGTGTGTGTGTAATATATATTTCCTTCTGAGGAACCTGATGCTTGTTTAGCTACATCTTTTGCCACTCTACTGCCCCCTAGAAAAGTATTGGCACCTGGTGGGATTCTTTCACCAGCTTAGAATCTCTCATCAAAGCAGTAGCCATGACTGCATGATGTGCAACATTTACAAATTCTTGTCTTGAGCACTGGAAGTGCATGCAGTCAGACAAGACCACTGGGATTAGTTCGTTTTTATAGAGCTTGCAAACCTGTCACTTGACAGCAAGGGTCTGATTCTCAGGGATTCATTGGTATGCAGAGAAGCTTGTTTGCAGTTTGCACCAGGCTCTTCTCCAGAACCATGCATGCTCCATCTGTGCTGATAACACAGTGTTCTTTGGCACTGCAAACTAGAGGAAACCAGAAAGTGAATTCATTTCATTACCCCAGACATTATGTGAATGACAAAGCGCTTTTATATTATATACTGCTGTCAATTCAGTGCCACCTGTAAGACTTTTTTTACAGGCTGTCTCTTCAGGAGTGATACGACATCAGGCTTGAGGACCTGTATGTCATATCAATCCGTCATAATGACCTTGCTAAATATTAATTTATATGATATCTTACTTTAATCAATATTAACTGTATGCTGAGGTAGTCAGTCAATGCGCATAAACCTGTCTGCTTCATAAAGCATTGTAGCAAGAAGACAATGTTAAGAAAGATAAACCAAAATTAATAATAACATTAACAATAAATAACTGGCATGCAACTGATTCTGATGACTGGTTATCTGCTTAGGAATTGAAGACTTAATAATCAATATCCCATTTTAGCCATTAACCACAGGAAGGATTATCTGTCATTGGTCAAAGAACCTTATTAGAATGCATTTGCTGTCATTGGCTATCTTTTGTTTTTTCTGTTCGCTCATTTAGCTTGGGTGTGCAGTTTTGGCCATCATATTTTCCTCTTTACCATTAGTGGTATCCAAATGAAATAGATTCAGGTTGCCAGTGGTTCAGTAGCAGCTGGAAGAATTTAATGGGGATTCCAGCATCTGCTTTTACTTAATTTTAAAATTAGAAACACTTTTTTTTGCTCATTTCCAAGTTTCACATAATCATTTGGAATCAGAAGATTACACTGGTATCAAGACAGAGAAACACTGAATAGAAAATAGTTACAGTACAGCCAGAAGGTATATGTACATTTTGACTCTATTCTCATGTAAGAATTGAGAAGAATTTCTTTTTTATTCAGCATTATGGAAGAATACAAAATATCTGATTGAGTAATAAAGCTTCTTATATATTCTTTGAGATAAAAAGCTCCTTCTAGTTTTGCTAAAAGTAACAAAACTGAAATTGGATTAATCTAAAACTTTTATATTATTTCTTTAATAAGATTCCGAAGTGAGCTTGAGCTACTTTTTAATTACCATGAGCTACCAAATTTGAGTGGTCTGGAGTGCAAAGAGAATGAGTTGAACTTCCAAATGTTAGTCAAAGAGCTTGCATATAGCTCTTGTCTCTCTTTGAAAAATATTCTGGAATCAGAGGGAGAGGTGAGGAGAGCATGTTGATAGAAAGACCCAAATTATGGTCCTGCTTCTACAATATGTTAGGCACACAAAGCCTCCCATCTGTCCAAGTGAAAATTTGTGTAATTGGGCCTGACCCATTATAAAATTAGGTTAAAGCAAACGTTCATACCATTATGTAGAAGTGGAGAAAGTTCATAATTAACTTATAATTTGAATTTGCCTATAACTTGCACAGTGCTGTGGTGACCTGACTTCTAAACATCATCTCATTTTAAATTTGGATAACAAAAATACTTTGTAAACAACTCTCTCCCTTTCCCCTGAAATGTATATGAATTTAATTCCTTAATTTATTCTAAAGAACAATAATCACAACTTCAAAGGTATCATAAGCTATTCAGAACACACTATCAGCCTCTAGAACGCTCAAATATGCTCTAGGGGCCACTTACTTTTCATATAATCAGCAAAATAAACAATGTGCTGTTATGTTTGTTGTATGTAAAATATAGGCCAGTTTTCATGAAATGATTGCTTCATGATGAGGGGGCTGTTAACGGCTTGAATATTCTAATGGTGGCTTCCCGTTCAGCTTCTGACACTGATAACCGTAAAAAATGAAAAGTGTTGCATTTCATAGAAAAGAATTTTGGAGAACATCTACCTTTTAATGTAAAAAGCGGTCAGGGCTTCAACACTGAATTCTTTGTTTTGCCCTTTTTTTATATATGATATCCATTTAAACTTGCTCAATAGTCTTTTTTTAAACTCTAAAACAGAAACAAACCTGCTTCTTATAACCTAGCACCTAGTGAGACATGCTGGTTTTATAAGCCCTATTCCCATCATGCCAGAAATATTAGGAGAAGACTTTGGATTTTCAAAAATGGTTTGCTGACAAGTTATTTGTGCGTATGTAAATATTTGCATCTGCACATGCTGTTCTTGCATGAAAAAGTAGTTGTTGCATTGACAAATAGTGGTTTGTGCACAAGTGCTGGTACCAGTTTAGAAATGCTGTTGAGGCCCTTTTGCCAAGTGTGTCCTTAAATATTCAGAAAAAGTAGAGTGGTAACAGCCAAATATGACTGATAAGGCAACAGTCAGAGTGAACATCAAGAAAAAATGCCTTAAATCTCATTCTCATTCATGTTGTGTATTTTTTGAGGTAGACTTAATAGGAGGGTATTCTTAAAAGGTTCCAGTGCGGCAGGGGTTAGTAATTAAATCCTTTCCCAGCATTTTCTTGCATGACGAAAAATATCTTTTAATTAAGCAGGATTTTCTGAAAAATGTTTAAGTCTGAATTCCAAATATGTCACTAACAAATTGCACTGAACCAAGTGCATCTTCTGATTGCAAAGGAGAATCAATGATGATTGAGGAGTTATTTGAAAACAGTGAAGATTTAATAGTGGATTGCTAACAAAGTCTCTATAGAGTTATTAGTTTCTGATGTGACAGCTGCTTTTTATTCCATGAAGTTAGCAGAAAGGTTTCCTTCTCAGTGGAAAGAATGTGATCTCAGAGAACAGAGGAATATAGCACATTAAAAAAAAAAAAAGAAAAGAAAAGGAAAGATTTCATTTAGACAGACTTCAGGTTTTTGGATGGTGTTTGGCTCATAGCAAATTGATAGAAAACGTTATCTGACTTGTATTTTAAAATGAGATTTAAATAATTCATTTAATGAGAGGGAATATTCAGTTACAGAAATAATTGGTTGGCACAGCTTTTAGAACAGAATTATTTAGTCCCAGTTAGAAAGGACTGCACCTTTAATCAGGGTGCCTAATTTGATTTTTCACATGTATCTGTCGTTTGTCTGATGAGCACAGTAACAAATGAGTTCTGATTTGTACAAACTGATCAAAATGTAATCAGTGTCAATTACTATCGTTGTATTTTACTTCATGTTTCTGTCAGCTTCTGTAATCAAAAGATGCTGAAAGTGCTTAAAGTCACAAGACACCTCGGGTAATTTGTCTATGTACGTGTGATGTTTTGGCTGTGAAATAGCCATCACTTCCTGTTCTAAAGCTCTGAGACTTGATTTTAAATTTTAAAATTGCTGGGAAGTGGCAGTATGTTGTCTTGCTTCTTTTTATATTCACAGGCATCAAAGGTAGATCCAGGGGATCCAGCTGGTCCCTGTCGTCGTCCCCCACCCCGCCTTTGACTGTGTGCTGTATGCACAGTGAGCTCTGGGAGCACTATGAGCTTGCCACTACTTGGTTTGGGCTCTGCCTGGAGTATCTACTTCTCTTTGCTCTTCCCCTCCCTTCTTCCATCCCCCTCTGAATTCAGCACAACAGGGGGAGGGAGGGAGAAGCAGCTGGTAGCAATGCAGCTCCATAGGTCCATGCTTCTGCTTCTCATCCCATTTTCTCCTTTCCTGGCTGCTCAATTAGTGGGAGGGTGGAAAGATGACCAGCAAGTCCTGGAGTTGCTTGAAAGCAGGATCTGGGCAGACCCTGCACTGGTGAGCTCAGAGATCATATGTAGACTTCCCACCAGGAGCTGCCAAGAGCTCAGTGGCACCCTCGGGATCACAGCAAAGGACTGTAGCCACGTCCCCTTTGGCTATGTGTCTCTTCACTTCTTGTGCCCACCCCCACTGCCAAAGTGGATGTGGCTGCATCTCCTTTACTGCAATCCTGGATCTGCCCAACTTGGTCATAAGTCTTCATAAGAGCTCAATTTCATCAACCCTATTTTATTAGCTTAGTAATAACTAAACATAAAAAAGATCACGGATATTGTGTGGAATGACAAAATTGTCAAAAAGCAAAAGCCTTTGTCTTTCCGCTGGAACACTGTAAAAAAAACATTCAAGAGACATACATCTGACTTAAATTGTAGGGACTGTTTACCAACAGAAAACTCTTATCTTATGCTTTTTCACTTCCATCATTTCCTAATGGCAGCAAGCAGCATCATGTAGTAGATGCTCAATGTTTTTGCACTAAAGCACCAAGGATCAAATTAGATCCTTAAAACAAATCTATTTAAAAGTATCTGAAATTTTTTCTCAGCATACTTTGATTTAATGTAACGAGGGGAAAAAAATAAAATATCGCTGCTTCCCCTGCTCTCCCCAAAACTGTCACTTAAGATTTCCCTTTTCCCCCTCCCCCCATTGATTTTGTGATTTATGTCTCTTTGCAATTCTCTCCTTACAGAAGGCATCTTGGCTCTTCTAAATAGGAGAGCCTGGAAATACCAATGTCCATAAATAACTTGGAGCGGTAGCATACAGTTGAGGAAAGAATGATCAGTGAAATAGTTTGAACAGTGCACAAAAATATAAGATTGGGGTATACCTCTGATGCTGAATTCAACTTCTATTTTAATAATAAAGACAATATATTTCTGAATAATCTACTTTAAATTTGATTTATACCTGCGTTGGGTCTTGCACTTGATTGCATCTTTTCAATATTGTATTATTGTTGTCTGACTTCAAACATACATATGCTGTCCCATGACTTAGATTAATACCAGCTTTAATATATGTGCAGATTTAGATTTTTTTCTCCCCCCTTTGATCACTTTGCAGATGCAAAAACCTGCAATGAAGTTGATTTGGAAAATTCTGTCGAGTGGGAAGTGAAGACGATTACTAGTGCTATGAAGCAGTACTTGAGGCAAGCTTATATTTGTTAACTATTCATAATTGAACTCTAATTGGTGTAGCCTGGAGCTGTGTTACTGTTTTGATCATTTGCTTTTACTGTTGTTTAGACAAAAGTCCACACTGCATGTCAATCCCACATATGTATTTAAGGCACTGGTTTTTTTATGCCTTAGGAGGAAAAGCTTCATACTTTCATGAAGAGTGTGTTAAGATTAGTGACACAACTTAAAGTTTAGGTGTGATAGATGCCTAAATGTTTGGCTTCCCTCTTCAGAGTTGGTCATTCTTACAAAAGTTGCTATTTAAAATCAGGTTATATTGTTTGTAAACCCTTTACTTTACTTTTTTATTTTGGTAAACCCCAAGGGGGAGAAATGAATGAAAATATTTTTAAAATGCAGAAATCTGAAATTGTTAGCATTTTGAAACTTGAAGAATTTGGCCAACGTTTATATATTGTCATTTTTTCTCTCTTGTTTCCCAGATAGAATCGGGGGGCGGGGTGGATATAGTTTTAAGAGTGTTGGATCAGTTCTGTAACCAATCTGACTTTGTATTAAGTTTTATGTTTTTTGTAATTCACAGCATACAACTTTTTGTTAGCCCATTATGGTTTCATATTAGCACAGCATGGATTTTTTTTTTTAACTTAAAACTAAATGAGTGCATGTGGAAAAAGTAAATTGCTCTTTTAAAAACGTAAGTTAGTGAAAATAAGGTTTCATCTACTGCCAGCATAGGTATCTGAAAATATGTGGGAACTCTGGAGTATTAATCTTAAGATTTTAAGTATAGATCGGTGTTTCTCAACCCAAAATGCTTTGCAAGAATATATGAAAGAGTCACAAACAGACTTTAAAAATGGATTCTCCTTTAAAGGAGAAAAACATGGGAAACTGTGGCTTTTCCCTTGCAAGCTGTCAGAGTTCTAGCCTGCAAGGAGCTGCTGGGGGCCCCCCAAAGGGGCGCCTTCCCCCCCCCCCCACCTACACTGGGGGGCTGGGGCCTGGGGGCAGTGGCTTGAAAGGGGGCACTGGGTCAGGACTGGCCATCAATGTTTACAAATGGGTCCTGGTACAAAAAAGTTGAGAAGCACTGATATAGATAGATAGGAGGAAAAAAAATTGTTCACATGCGTAAGATTAAAATTGCCTGTCCAAAGTATAAAATCATTTTATGTATTACAATAATTTAAAAACCTCAGAAAGTCAGCCCAGAAAATGAGGGAGGTTTAATCTGTTTCCCATATTGTTCTGTGATTATTTTTATGTAATAAAGGTTTTTTCTTGAGAGCTAAAATTTTTACTAGTAATTCTGAGTATTTAGCCTGATCTTTGCAAGGGGCCTAACTTTTCCAGTGGTGCATCTTGCAAAGTCTAGTCCCCAAAATAACCTAAAGTTTAAGTACCTCAGGTTCCATATCAGTGTTGCCATTTATCTGACCAGTCACGATTCACCAGTGGAGAAAATATAAAAGAATTGCAAATAACTGTTTGTGATCACTCTATAGTTACATAAATTCACAAGAAAGCTGTGAGTCTTGTGTATAAGAACATTAAAGAAAATCATGATCCTGCTCTTTGAATATCCCAGGAACAAAGAAGAAGCATGTTAAGTGGATAAACCCACTTGAGGTGGGGGGGCGGGGTTTTTTACAAATCAGTTCTGTCACACTTCCTTATTTTTACAGTTTTAAAAGAAAATAAAAAAGGGATGAGGTATACAGCATCCCTATGATTTCTTAATTTCAAGATCTGTGGAAGGCATTTATTTTGTATTAGAGGGTTCACTTCATCTGATGGAATTTAAAGTTTGTTTAGTCTTGTTTTCCCTAGATTGTGAGCTTAATGTCGCACCATTTCCATGTGTGCTGCAAATCATTGCAGTTTGTGAGTTGACCCTAAAAAGGGCTGTTCCCAGTGGAAAGGTAACACATCAGTATTTTTGAAGGGCTTTCCTGCTCAGCAGAAATACAAATAGGAATGAACCTATGTGAACTTACTGTATTTGGTGATTCCATGTCATTTTTGTCTTACAGAAGCCTTCCAGAGCCTCTAATGACGTACGAGTTGCATGGAGAGTTCATCGTTCCTGCCAGTAAATATTTGACTCGAGTTCAAATAGAATGATGTTTTTTGTTTTTTTTTATGATAGCACTATTGTGGTTCAGGAACAGATGCTGCAAATGCAGTTTCAGGGACAAATGCTTATTTCAACTAAGTAAGAAAGAAATAGGTATAAAAGATAACTGGGATTTTTTTTACATGGAAGTAAGACTATTGTATGAAATAATATATAAATATACCATAGGTGCCATAATTTGGTTCAACACATGGAGTAATTTTTTTAAAAGTACAGAAATCTGAAATGCACAGCATATTGATAATTTCAGTTGGACAAAGTTGGCTTTGACTTAGTACCTTTCACTGTGTATTTATTTTTATATGAAAATATAAGTTTGAATTGGAGTTGTTTTTCTTCCTGTTTGACTGGTTATATCATAGTGAACATTTTCTATACAGCACAGTAGAACCCCCTACAGTAGTTCAGGTTGGTTAAATTTTCATATCCTCTAGTCACAATCCATCTAATCACTTTAAAAAAAAATAAGTTTAGTAGAACACTATGCTAAAGAAAAACCATACAAGCCCCTGGATCATAAAAGTGATGACTCCTGACTCTTGTTTTTAGTGCCATCTCCCTGTGAGGTCTGTATTCAAGCCAGCTGAAGTTTTCTCATGTATCACTAGAAAAAGGGAACATACAGACCGAATTAAACTGTTGCAGTTAAAGAGAAGGTAGAACAGCAGTTATACTTCAGCTGTATGATATCTAATGTAAATAGAATTCTTTGAGCAGAAATTGTATAAGAAGAAAAAGGTTTTGGCAAAATATCAAACAAATGTTTAACTGATCTGCTTTCTAGCTTGTGGCACTTCTGACAATCCATGGGAAGAAAAATTAAAGTAAATTTTGAGGACAATTATTTTATCTTGTTGGCCTGCTATTATAACTGGCATCAAATAGCAGAATTCAGGTTTCTCTTCTTTACTAGAGTGCTTTAACACTTAGAGAAAAATAAAGCTTTTACTGTCTTTAGAGTTACAAAATGAGAGCGTATGTCTGTCTGCTTGCTTATTTGTGGTCATTGATAAAATTAGATCTCTTGTAAAGCTCAGAAGTCATAACATTAAAAAGGAAATATTCCGAACTCAGTTGATATAGGTCTTGTGAAACAGCCATAAAATATCACTGAGGCCAATTTGTAACATTCAAGATACTTACCTAAATAATATGTATTTACACAGTCATGTAAGATTGGATTCAATTAATTTATTTTACTCATAGGTCATAACAATATGACAGTAGTTTTGGCATGTATTTTCTCTTCCTCCATTTCAGTAGTGCACGTGAAAAAGCTGAAGAGTTTTAGGGAAACAAGGGTCCAGGTCCTAGATCCAAATATGCTAACAGTTTAGTTGAAGGGATGAATTTGAAAAATAAAGGGGAGAAACTCACCCAATGAACTTTGGCTATTAAAGTTTTAAAAAACAGGTTTTCAAATTGTCTTTGTAATCTTGAGTAGAAAAGCAGAGTGTAAGGAATATTTTGAGGGTGTTTAGTAAAAATGGTTTGCATCTGTAATTTTAAACACTAACAATACTGATTGTAACTATGTAGTCAGTCTTTGACTGTTACATACAGTTCAGTTGATGGGGGTTGGACTAGATGACCTCCTAAGGTCCCTTCCAACCCTAATTTTCTATGATTCGATAATAACACTACACTAGAGTCAGGATTGTACAAAATCTTGGCAAGATTTCTTTCCCTGGCATTACAACCTGGTGCCCCTGAATTTTGATAGGCTTATTAGGATTGCCCCTGAATTTTGATTTGCCTTCTGGTAACATTTTTTCCCTGGTGAATTATGACTAAGCATGTTCTCTACAAACATATTTTTAAACCTAGAAAAGGAACCATCTAATAAATAAGTATTTAGTATAAAAGCAATTCTATCTAGGGTTACCATATGTCTTGGTTTTCCTGGACTTGTCCTCTTTTTGGGTCCTCTGATCTCCATCTGGTCATTTTTTTGTTTTAAATAGGATCAAATGTCCAGGATTTTGGTCAGCTCAGCTGTGTGAGGGAGCGGGTGCCTGTCGGCACTGGGAGAAGCTGACCAGGTGCTGGGGCTGCAGCAGGGCAGGAGAGGAGAGGTGGAGAAGCGGGGCCAGGCCCTTCAGGGGCAGCAGGGAGCTGCAGGGCTGCCTGGTGGCAGAGGAGAGGTCCCAAGGATCCTAGCACATGCCTTTTTCATTTATTTCTCTTGCAGCAGCATCTGATCACCATGGGGACTGCAACTTGTAGAGGGGGCTGGGTTGTAGGCAGTAGCCCACTGTGGGGAATAAGGGTTGCATGGGTGGGGCAGCTGGGAGATAGGGGACCAAGGGGCTTTGGCTTGGAAGGGTGGGGCGGGGGACTGTCAGGAGTATGGGACAGGGCTGCGGGTCTGGAGTGAGGGACTCCAGCGTGGCCCAGGGGGGCAGGGGACTGTGGATTTGGAATGAGGGGCTCTGGCAAGGCCAGGGGTCTCCGGGTCTGGAGTGAGTTGTAGCAGCAGGGTTGGGGGGGGGCTGTGCCTTGGGATTGAGGGTCAACAGAATGGGCAGGGCCAGGGCACTCACAATCATATACCTCCCCCTCCCCACCTCTACCCCCACTCCTCCAGGGCATGCAACAGATGTCCTCTTTTTTGGAACTGGAAATATGGTAACCCTAGTTCTATCACAGCTAGTGTTTGACAATGATGATAGTGTCAGAACTTCCTGTTTCATATTATTTCCTATGGCTCCTCATGCTTTTCTGTATTGTTTCTTACCTTCGGTACTTTCTGACACAAAGGGAGGTCTTACAGGCATTTTACGGCTAGTCATTCTTTAAACTTGATTGTTCTATTTTATCAAGTTATGAAAAATAGAAAGAAGCTGATTTACTTCTCAGCTTTTTAGAACCCTGCTCTCATCTATTTAATATATAAGCCTATGTAGCCAAAATGATTTCTTCCCCTGGCTATCCTCAAGGAATCCATTTGTTGTTTACACTCAGATTTACTAACTAACTACACCCAGTAAAGGACATAGCTGATGCCAAGAATCCTTTATGTTGATAATCTAACTCAGCAGTGCAATCCAACTAGGATTATTTTTTTTTTCTTTTTAGGTGTTATCACTTTGGAGCCTGTTAGTCCCCCTTGAATGTTATCCTGTGCAGTTGCTGATGCAGGGTGTTTAGATGCAATGTCACCAGTTGTCTAGCACTTACAAAACTGGATGTAAATGATGATGATAATTAATAAATGATGCTAAAAGGATAAGGAAGTCTTCTTTCACACCTGGCTTTTACAATGAGAGGCTTTACCAGCAACATGATTTCTTACCTTGCAGTATGTTTCTAAGCAGATGAGTACAGCAGAAGAATAACTACATCTGCCAGTTTCTAAATATAGATGAGCAGAGAAAAGCTTCCTTTTGCAGGTGGATTGACAGTCATTTTACAGATAAGCAACAAGCAGGATTACTTGAAAACAAAGCACATATGTTCAGTTTTGCTGTATTAAGAGATGTTTAGTGCTGAAGCAAGCTATCCTAGAAAGCTTTTGTTGTTGGGATGGGGGAAAAGACCTTTGTTTCTAATGTTCAGATGAAGTTGCTTATTCTTGTTGTTTTCATATAGAAAGTGGCAGTCCAGAGTCCCGAGTGAGTGCCATACACTTCTTGGTTCATAAACTTCCAGAGAAAAACAAAGAGATGCTTGACATTTTGGTGAAACACTTAGCAAAGTAAGCACCCCAAGTTCATTTTATTACTTTTCAGAGAAGTTCCCCCAGTATGGCCCCTCTCCCATCACTTTGAGAGATCTACTGTGGACCAAATTAATTGTAGTTGGAGCCAAGGCAGGTCATGACACTGTCATGTACAATACCAAGAACAAACCTGCAAAAGCAGACGAGAAGTTTGATTTTCACTGTGTGTGTTTTGGAGAAGAGGGCAGAAATCTAATCTCTTAATGAAGCCATATAAGCATTTACTTAGTGACATTGCCAGCAATTGAATGTTTGATTGAAGTGAGAAGAGGAACACTATACTTTCTCTCTGTAAATTCTGGCAAAGAGAATAGTGGAGATCTGTTAGCAAATTTAGTTTGGTTTCACACCCAAGTCCAAGGCTAAAAGCATTGTGCATGTATAAGTTCAATAAGCGACAGCTTTTGTTTCTTAAAATACTGATGGAAAATGGCTTTTCCTATTTTCCAGAATTCAGTATGCTTTTATATGAAGAACCTTTGCACAAAATAAACTTCTAAAACATGGGCTAAGGAAATGTAGTGTTTACATTTGTAAAGTATACTGCATTTTCTAGGAGTAATGGAAACTTTTCATAACCTAATTCCTGTTTTTAACTTCAAATCTTTTTGAAAAGTGTTTCAAATCACGCCAAGAAGAATCTAATGACTGTAGCAAATTTAGGAGTGGTATTTGGACCAACCTTAATGAGGCCGCAGGAAGAAACCGTGGCAGCCATCATGGACCTAAAGTTTCAGAATATTGTGGTGGAAATCCTTATAGAAAACCATGAGAAGGTAAGACCGTGTGTGTGTGTGTGTGTGTGTGTGTGTGTGTGTGTGTATTCACTATTTAGATTTTATTTGTAAACATGCAAATGTAAATACAAGTGTACAAGTAAGCATACAAGTGTAGCATGAATTAACTCTTGCATTTTATGGAATTGTGTTCATTCTTACATTTTGCATATGTGCATATCCCTGTGCTTAGCTACCTTTTGTGTATATTTAAACTGACATATCAACAGGCACATTCATTAATTTAGATGTACAGTTATTCAGTTTATCCATACCTTAGTGCTAGCTGTGCAAAAAAGGGTTTTTATGCAAGGTAAACGGGGTCTTTCGATCCAGTGGACACAATATGAGACTGGATGGGAAAGAACCTGCTTTCTTTTTTCACATTTGACACTAATTTTGTGACATCTCAGTCAAAGCACTTAATCTTTTTCCCCTTTTGTTCCCCCCCAGAACTCATACAATAAAATATCATAATGTACTATGAACTTTACAGGTAAAAGTACTGGGTGAAAGCTAAGCATTAAGAATATTTCTTTAAAAGTTTGGCTGTGAGTTTTATTTTCAAGTCTTTGATCCCAAGCATCACAATAGTTACAATGGAAATTGCTGATGCTGCACTACATCATTGTAGTTTAAACACACCAGGGGGCCTTGCTTGACTCTGGGCTCTTATGTGTTTTGTTCTTTTTAGATTGTAATGATTGGGAGAAAAGCAAAAGCTCCGAAAGCCATTAGCTTGTTTTGACAACACAAGCTGTCATACTAGATCAGGCAGAACTCAAGCAAATGATCTTGCCCTCTCCTCTCACATTCTTCAAACAGTGAAAGTTGTTACTTTTAATGTCAGTATTGTTACAATTGCAGATCTGAGATAGGGGGCAAAGAGCTGAATGGGTAAAAGTTTGCACCTTTCAAAACACTTGGTTTTACGTTCTGCAAGTGAAAGCATCAGCCTCAGTTCATGTTACTTGGTGGGAGAAAGGAGGAGATTTTTTTTTGTTTTTTAAGGAAAGCTTAGATTCTGGATATTAAGAATTGGCGGGGGGGGAGAAAGTCCAACCTATTGGCAATTGTAAGTGAAATCTGGAGCCCTGGGTGGGCAGTTGAGTTTCTGCTTAGTTCTGAAACCACCGTACAGTTTTCCATGCTGAGTACTAGGCCAGTTCAGCTGCTTATTTTTACTTAAAAGCAGGACAGCAATTTCATATTTGAAACATTAGTTATAGGTTTTTTTTCTTGTTCTTGAAGAAACTGTAGAAGAGCAGTATGGAAAGTACATCAAAGTGATATTGCATCAGCTTCCGCAGTTCAGTTTTTATGCCTCTTTTCAGATCCAATAGGTTAAAATTTGTATTTTTGCCTAAAAGGTCTTCAGTTTCTACAGTTACCCATCTTGCCAAGGGTTTGCCTATTCCACTGACCTTTTTCTGCCACTTACAGATGGCTGCTGTCCAAACTGTCAGGGAGCTTGGGTATAACAGGTAGGTGGACTCCAAGTATTATAGCCAAATAGATGTGGGAGCGTTGCAGCAGTTGTGGACAGCCTAAGCACGCTTCCTTTAAAAATTACTTTTACTTTCCCTGGCTCCCAACAAGAAGTTGGCAGTATATGCAAACCAGTTTAGCAGCAGCAGTCAGGTGTTTGATTTTGCACAGTCAGTTTTTGTTGTTTTGAACATCTACATCAGACTGTCAAAAGATACTTTATATTATTTTTTAGTTTATTTATAGCCCTGTTGAAATCTCAGGAAACAGTCTAACAGCTGTGGGTATAATCCTGGCCTTTTACATACTTCTTTCAGACTGAAATATGCCTCCTTGCTAGTGATTAGCAGCTTTTCTTTAAGAGAAGCTGAAATTGGCCTAGAGGGAGTGCTGTGGGGTCAAGACTGAGGGGCTTGGACAGAAGTCTGAAGTAACATTTTCCTGGCTTCTGCCTGCACAATGGCTGGCTCTAGCATACTACTCAGGAAAAGCTGTTCTTTACCGTAGCATCAGGTTCAATCAGATAATCAAAAATAAGACCAAAGTTTCTGAAATGGATATTGAATCAGTTGGTTTCCTTCTCCTGTACTCCAAATACTAATCTGCTCAGTAAGTTTTAACTTATGAACATTGGTAAAACTGCAGCACATTATTTATGATGCCATCATGCTGTCATTAGACATCATTAGTGTTCACTAAGTACTGCTGTTGAAGAATCTCCACAATCCATTTCTAGTAAGAGAAATAGTTAATTAGGTTGCTAGCTTTGAAGTACTGGTCCAGTAACTCAAGCATCGTTACTTGACTGAGTCCTAATTAGAGAACTTTTATGTAGTTTGCGTGGTGAAAACTGGCTCTGGGGCTTGCCCTGGGATAAGAATATTTTGCTTAATGCAGAAGCTATTGCAGAAGCTATTTGCTTAATGCAGAAGCTATTTGCTGATAAGTACACTTATTTTCTGCTTGCTAGAAACTACTTGGTGCCACATTCACCTTATTTACAGACTTTTATATGTACTTCCAACTGGTGGTGGCAAGCCAATTACAGTAGCTTTGTAGTACTGGCTGTAGAAGAAAATCAGACCGGTATTGAAATTGTGGAAACAGTGATTGCTGCAGGTAAAAAACCCCTGAGATATCAGTACCCGGCATTAAAATTAAACAAGGAGTAAGGATGCAAGGGGACAGATAAGGATTAAGGGAATATCAGTTCAATATTTGTAGTTGTCCAATGTAGATAGGTATAACTGGTGGCTTCTATCTCTGATCCAGTGGTGTCTGCCCTAGCTGGAAGGGGAAGTTGCAGAAGCAACCAAACTAGTGACTGCTGCTCTGAATAACACAGGGGTAAATGGGGAAAGGATTTCCTGAGTACTATTTCTTCAAACCAGGAACTATATCAAAGAAGCTACTTCCCTTTCAGGGGAGCCAGACACCAGGACATGTGGCCTAGGGGAAAAACTCAAGGAAGTTTCTATCCAGTAGGGGTAGCTATAGAAGCAACCAGAGCCAGGGACCTTCAGACATTGAGTCATTTCTACAGAACTAATGTGACTTCCTTTGCCTGTGTTGATGGGCTGTTTGCTCCAATCCTTCTTTCCCTCAACTTTCAAGTCTTTTCACCTTTGCTTTTCTTTACATTTTAGCCTTCATAGGCTCTTCTATCCTGCCCTGCTTAACTCTTACTTCAATGTCCCATGTTCCTTTTATATCCTCTCTGTTGAGCTTATCCCAGGGGTAGGCAATTATTTGAGCTGGAGGGCCAATTAAGGAGTTTTGATGAGCTGTTGTGGGTCAGGTCAGCCCCCCTGCCCCCATGTTGGGTCATTCCTTCCTCTTCCATCTGCCTGCTCACCAAAACTCCCTAAGTGGCTTTGCCCTGTGTGCAGCCACGCTGATGGGATGGGGATGTGGGCAGACAGGGAGCAGCATCACAGGCCGGTCGGGCCAGGATCGGGATTGCAGTGTTGACAGCATGGGCCCAGGGCAGAGCTGCAATCTGCTCCCCGTGCACCCCTGCCCATAGAATCGGTATCCATCGCAGGGATGTGCAGGCAGTGACTCATGACTCTGTCCTGTCCCAGTTCCAGCCCTGGCTCTGGCCCCACTCACTCGTGCCACTCCTGGATGCTGTTCCTTTACTCCATGGGTCTCAGACTGGTCCCCATAGAGACCTTGCCTGCCCGCTCTGTCCGGTACTCCCAGTGGTGGGTGCAGGGCACGTGGGCCAGGATGCCCAGGCAACAGGACTAGATTCAGTGGTGTCAGAGGAGACGGGCAGTGGCAGCTGGAAGGAGCCACTGTGGGGGTTGCTGGGGAGCAAGTTTGGTTGCTGCACCGCTCCAGTCCCTCTGCATGCCTGGGGGCGGTGGGACTGGCTGCATGCGCCATGGTCTGGGCTGCCCCATACCTGAGCTGGGTGGAGCTAAGGGACCCACCATGGGCCAGACAAAATCCCTTGGCAGACTGGATCTGGCCCATGGGCTGTATTTTGCTCATCCCTGGGTTATCCCTTTCTAACAAAACCCATGTTCTAAAATAGAAGAGCTAACAGGACATTTTCTGCCACCACGTTTGCTTTGCTTGGGTGTTATATCCCTTCCTCCCTCTTATCCCATTTCTGTCCATCTTACATAGTGAGCACTCTAGGGAAGGGGTTCTATACTCTGTTTGCATACTGCAACAAGGCACCATTCTTTCTTGGTCCTGAGGCAACACCTTATTAACTGATTTAACAATAATCAACTTTGGATGAAAAAGGCCTTGACTTCTCTTTTTTTCCTTCCCTGTGGCACTAAAGACTTTTATTAAGCTTCTTTTTCCAGGAGCTGCCAAAGCCAGGAATTCTTGGCAGCTCTTCTTTTAGAGCTAGTGGTCTAAGCTCTAAAATGCTACAGGGATGAAATGGAATGTGTTCTTATCAGTGTACTATGTTGGTTTTTCATTGGTAAAAAAAAGTCCTTTAAACTGAGACACTGCTTTTGAAGACGTTACGTATTTACCAGTATTCTGAACTTCGATTTAAAAAAAAAAATGCTTAGACAAAGGTGGAAAAAAAGAAAATATGATAAAACTAATTGGGCTAGAAGATGGGGTTAGGAGAGGAGGGAGAAAACTTTTGACTAGGAATAGTCTCAGTGGGAATTGAATGGACAAGTCTGCTTGCGGGGGAGGAAAGATGAGCAGGAAGGAATGGCAAAAACAGAAGAAAATGAAAATTGCAAAGGAAGAAACTTGAGAGGAGGGAACAAAGGGGCCAGACAAGAGTTCCTTCAGGAAAGGAGGAAACCAGAGTCTGCTAAGGAAAGAGAACAGAAAGGAAGAAAGGAAAATGAAAGACCCCCACCAGAGAATTCAGAAAGCTTAAACCTATAGGCAAAAAACGTTCATTTTTACAAGCTGTGCTAATTGCTGTCGGAAGAGTGAAGAATGTGTTCATCCATTTTGCTTGTTCAATTTTATAAATGCTATGGGTAATTAATTAGTTTTCATGTAGCTTAGTTAGAATGTAT